CGCAGTCCTGCAGAGTTCAGCTCTAACCCTAATAAAAACTCACCTGCCTGAAGCTTCCTAGTAACCCTTCAGGCCTTGATTAGCTTGTTCAGGTGTGTTTGATTAGGGTTGAAGCAAAACTCTGCAGGGCTGCGGCTCGCCAGGACCGACGTTCGCCACCCCTGATATATATAGTTATCCTAACAGTAGATGGGCAGTTTTTTAAGCATATTTCATAAATGTATTGTATTCTTAAGCACAGTATAAAAAACTTAAATTAGATAGTTGAAAAATAACTCTGATCAAAATTAGAGAAAACTTACTGATACCTTTAAGTTATTGGTGTTAATCTGGCACCTGGTGCTAATTTTCTTAATTATATGACAAACCTTATTTAACTGGCAATATTACTCAAATTTTTACTGAGACTGTAAGATGGCAGGCTGCTCTAATCTGACTGAAACCCAGCAACAGGAGGTTGTCCAGATGAAGGCCAAAGGGACGACCCTTTCAGCCACTGCAAGAGAAGCTGGTCATTCCAAATCTGTAATTTCTTGAATATTGCAGCTTTACAATGACACTAATTCATTCAAGTCCCCCCAAAATGCTGGTTGTCCATGTAAGACAAATTCAAGAGAAGGCAGGATAATGCGGAGACTCTCAATGGGCAATCGGTTCAACACTGCAGCTGGAATTGCTCGCCAGTTCAGCGCTGAACAGGGTAAGGATCTATCTCGGCACGTTTAAGAGAAGTCAAACTGAAAGCACACTTTTCAGTGATGAAGACTCTCATCAGCAGAAAGAATCAAAAGGCTAGGCCCACCTTTGCTGAGGAGTATGTTGTGTGGACAGAGGAGAACTGGTCCAAAGTTCGCTTTAGTGATGAGAGAAAGTTTAATTTATTTGGGTCTGATGGGAAACATTTTGTTTGGCATCAAACTGGGGAAAGACTGAAGCCCAAGTGCGTAAAGAAGTCAGTGAAAGCTGGAGGAGGAAGTGTCATGGTTTGGGGGATGTTTTGTGCAGCAGGTGTTGGGCCTCTTATACAGCGACATGGCAGGTGAATGCAAATGTTTGTCAGAACCTCCTTCAGCAACTACCTTCCCTGCAAGCATCTCCCAATCAGCCTGCAATTTTATAAATATAATTATCTATCTACACACACACACACTATTTTTAATTTATTATAAAGATATTTGTTATTATTACACTCTGAAATGTTCAGCACAGTAAGACCTCTATATTATCCACTATAATCTCTGATTTGTGGCCTGTGCATTTGGTTGTGAAACTCCAGACTACAGTATGCTGCGTTAATTACGATATTAATTGCATGTGACACCCAAGCGATTACAAGAATGTGTAACACACCATGTGGGGTTGACCAGTGTTACGTTTAACTGTTAGTGTTACGACCTGATGTCAGTCACAGAAAACTTTGTTTATCCCAGCTAAAGATGAATTACAACAAGGTTAAATATAGGGCAACAACTAAAAGTCATCGACTACTGATGATCAGGACGACATGTGAGAATATTCATCAGCCTCACAGCAAAAAATGTGAAATTCTAAAAAGCACTTAGATCAAAGGCCGTTTTTGAATATTAACATACCATTAACATTCTATGCAATTACCATAGCATAATTAGAGAAAACGGTCTTAATTAGCTTCAAATCTGCCATCCCATGACATTTAGCAAAGGATAAATGTTGTCTGGCAGTGATGTGTATTATGTAGCATGTAGTGTAAAGTTCTGATCATCCGTCATGACTCTACCTTTGCAGAGGGGCTCTGTGTCATTCCAGTAGGGGTCTCGTGTGTTGATGCACTCGATGACGGGCGGTCCCTGCTCCAGCGAGTGCCCGGGGTCACAGGTGAACTGCACAACCGTTCCCACGCCGTAAGTCGGGTCAGTCGTGCTGAAGTTTCCATTTTGGATGTATGGCTCATAGCAGTGGCCCCTCTCAAATGCTAAACGTGAACAATTAGAACAAGCTCTATTAGCCAGAGTAATGAACAATACAGAGAAACATGTTAGATTGATTAACCTTAGCTAGATTAGTTACACTTAAATATTTACAAATCTTATTGCATGAGATATCAGATACAGGACATAAATAAAAATATTAGAAATAATAAATACAGATAAACTATAAAACAAAATTTACTTAAAGAAACATGCTATATCACACTTTTCAAGCAAAACACGTAACATAGAACAATTGATTCCCAATAATTGGAAAATATATATATATATTTAATGCAAAGACATTTACACATTTTTAAGTGTTATGTAACCCTCCGATGTACGATGTCCACTACAATTGGCAGGTCTTTAAAAGCTTTTTTAATATTTTAGGTTGTGATGTTACATCTTTACACATCATTCAGTATCACTGTCCTCTTGTTTGTATTTATCTATTTACTCATTTATTTATTTATGACAAGATAAAATCAAAATGGCTGATGAAAGTGGTGATACATAAAGTACAGAAATATTGTTTATTATATATATATATATATATATATATATATATACTATTTCTGTTGTAATACAAAGATGTGTACATAATTTTGGGGAAATATAGGAGAAAAATATTAATTTTATATGTATTTATTTAAATATTTTATAAACATCAAGCAATTTTTTTTTTTACTATCATTTATAAATCTATACAAATAAATAAACTGTATTTTATTTTCTTTACCTTCCTGGTTTAATAATTCATGCATCAGATGGTTTAATGTCCAAACACATTATAGGCAGGTTTATATTGACTTGGATGTATTTGTCCTACATGATTGGTGTTACAGAGATGCATGTGGCCTACCCTCATAACGTATATTGAATCCAGTGTTGTGACTATTAGGTTGGTCTGTTATAAACTGGACCCGAACAGCCGGACCTTCGCTGATCACTCCCTCAAACGGGATGGGACCTCCACGCCCGGAATCAAACAGGACCACTGACCCTGCATCGAGGCCGCTCCATAAGACCAGCCTGTTTCATGGGAGAAGGCTTGAGTCTCTTATATACATACAAAAATTGTGCATTGATTTAGATGACACACACTTTTACCTGTCTGTCGGACCCAACACCATTCTCTCCAAATGCAGGTGCAGCCTCTGGCCGTTAGGAGCCTCCAGGGACCAAGAGCAGCTGCGGTCCAGGGTGCTGTTAAGGCCCGGATGGGGTGAGGGGGACAGTACACGGCCCACTGTGGCATTTTTTACAACCCCTCCACACAAAGCTTGAAGAGAACATAATGGAAAATGTGTTTGACTCTTTTAAAAGTAAATAATAATAATAAAAGGAAATATATGTGTTTGTGTTATATTGCCATTATTTTAAATAACCTATTTCTATTATTACCATATATATATATATATATACATCAGTGCAACTTATAACATCCAAGTGAAAGATATAACACTAACATGTCAGGGAAAAAAAATACAAAAACAGAATCACCAAGTTGGAAAAAGGATCACCCCCTCCAAAAAATGACTTATAAACTCAATCAGGTGTAGCTGATCACCTTCTCAATGGCACCCTCCCTGGATCAGGATGTCACTCCAAACTGGATGAAAGAGCCGGAGGAAACTGGTCAGAGAGGCGACCAAGAGACCTACAGCAACTCTGAAGCAGTCGCAGGAATTTATGACAAAGAGTGAACATTGTGTGCATGTGACAATAATATCACAGATTCTCCACAAATGTGGCTTGTACGGGAGGACTGCAAGAACAAAGCCACTCCTCAAGAAAGACCACATGCAGTCATGACCTAGCTTTGCCAAAACGCACCGTGAAGATTCTGAGGCAGATGAGACTAAAATTGAATTATTTGGCCTCAACATCAAACGATATGTCTGGTGGAAATCCAACACAGCTCCCCATCCAAATAACAGCATTCCTGCAGT